AGCTAAATATGATACAGTACAACTGTAGATAATGAACCCAGGAACATACATGTAGAAACCTGGTGATTTCTCATGTTCTGGAAATATAGAATTTATAAAGACTGAAATGAGGCACAGTCTGATTCTCACCTCCTCAAATGAGACAAAAGTCAAAAAGGAGGAGGAGGCAACAGTGCCAACACAGGCTGTATTATGGAGAAGAATGTTGTGTGATTACAACATTATAACACATACAGGTTTTTAACACTGTTATACCTCCTACTGTCTGATTAGCAATTGAAAGCAGCAAGAACCCATGTGTCCTGTGTTCTTGAGGGTCCCTGATCCTGAAGTGTTGCTAAATTGGTGTTTTTCTTGCTCTAACACACCTGATCCATCTTATCAGGGAGGACTTTGTTATGTTAAGTTGAAGTCTTTAAATGACTGGCAATTCAACTCGGACTTGAGACTAAAGACTTGTGAAAGCCTGAGATAAAAACAAATAAAACCAACCCTAACCTTTACTTTCCTGTCTTACAGATGTGACTTTGCCTGTCAGTTTTGCCACGGTCATGCTCAGTAACTGAGGCAAAAAAACTTAAAACGGTTGGCCAACATGCATGTAAGTATGCCAGCCAGCAAAATAGCCGAATTAGTTGCCATTTAGCTGAATTTTTAGTTACATGCTATCAAACTACAGACTGACCTGCTGTTTCAAGTTGTTTTGCTTCTTTCCTTTAAACATCACGTTTGCTGCGTGAAGTGCCTCAGTTCTGTCCTTCAGACTGACGGTTTTTCTTTAATGAAAGGCTTGTTATTTGAGCCCGTGTTGAAGCCGGCAGGTTTTTAGTAGGGTTTTGCTTTCGTGCTGTGTAATACCTGCAGCTAGTAACAAAACAAATCTGACATTTTCTTCCAAAGAGGCTTGAGACTCGACTCAGACTCGCATCTCAATGACTGGACGTGACACAGACTCACACCCCAAAGACTTAAAATGCAACTTTACATCTGTAGTGTACTAGCCAGTCTTAGTTCAACTACTGTGTTCACACAGGAAAATGAAATGTGTACAGCTAATATCCAAATAATTTTCTACAACCACCTAAAAATGAAAAGAGGGCAGGGTGTCAATGTTTGAGTATTTTAAATGCAAATCATGCAAATTTGGAGCAAGAGTTCAGCGCTAAACCCTTTTTACTTTAAATTTGTATGAAGCAGTGCTGCCGAAAGTGGCGCCTGTGGGCCAAAATTGGCCCTTAAAGGCATTTCATTTGGCCATAAAGTTACTCTACTCTGCCAGATATCTAGTTTAAGCCAACAGGCAGGTTTAAAGGACCGAGCTCTTGGGGACATTTAAATTTTTAATTTTATAGTACTCATTTAATATTTCAAGGTCTGTTATAATTGCCTACATTTTACTGCGGAAGTTCTTGCATATTTTGATTAAACAATGGCCAGTAGGGGTTACAGCACAACATTAATTAAAAATGAAATAAAACATTTTTTTTCACAGATTTGTTGAGATTTCTTAATATGGCCCCTTTAGTGGTTGAGTTGGACACCCCTGCTCTAAACCCACTGGCTCGCCCCTTCTTATTTTATCAACAAAAGTGATGTGATGTCTATATACAGGGTGTCCCAAAAAATGTACATCCTTTGAGATGTGAATATCTGAGTAATTACATATCCTGGGCAAACGAAATTAAATAGGCTTCATGTTGAACAATACAAGTTTTATTTATCAAAACTGGAACAAGAGATTCAGAGGGATGTAGATTTTATAACCGATTTCACAGCTTCACAAATGTAATATCTTCTGATACTGGTGTTCGTCCAGATCCCTTTGTCCTGCACAGACAGCCGTCCTCTTTGAATTTTTTGTGCCTTGTCCAAATCTGCTTTCCAGTTGGTGCATTTTTATTGGATTTTCTCGAAAATGCACGCTGCACGCTCTTGTTTGATTGTGTTCGAGCATTCTAACACATAAAATGCCTTTTCATTTCTAGTGAACGCCATTCTTCAACCTGAAAAAAAAATAAAAATAAATAAACTGTTAATTTTTACACATTTTGTTCAAATTTGAGATAATCTGAGGGAGATTTGGCTGTTATTAGACTATGAAATGATGTCGATTTTTTGGGACACTCTGTATATCTTTAGATATTGTTTTGTCTCTGTGGCCTTCAGTCCACCACAAACACCATATCATAAGAAAAAAAAAGGAAGGGCACCTCTGGTATAGAGGCTATTCAGGCATGATTTGGTGATCTGAGGAACCATTTTTGTTATTTCCATTTAGCTTAAAGTATCAGTGTTCAATTTATAATGATACTGTAATCCTACAAAAATCCAGGCACTAGATAATAAAGTAGGGTCTACACAGTATAGCGTAAGACCGCTTTACAAGGCCTGCAGATCGAAGTGTGCTTTTTTGGCAGAGACCCCTGGTTTGTGCTGTGATCCCTGTTTTTGAGTGTCAGGGCCTACAGTCTGTGTTTGAGCCAGCAGACCTTTGCTGAAGTGACCTCATCCTAAAGCAGTTTGCGCATCCTGCTCTCGGTGAGATTTCAGACGCCGGAGGCTCAGGTTTCTGAGGGAAGGCGATAGGCCCGGACGGCACGGGAGGGGGAAGAGGCGTTCCATTAGCAGGACAATTGATTAGCCACACAAGCATTTTTCTGCTTCCCTTCCCCCTCAGCCTGTCGGCCAGATGTGCGGAAGTGCGAAGGGTTCTGCTGCCCTTCCTCTCATCTATAAATACCACCCTCATGCATTCCTCTCCCTGCCCCCTCCCTACTTTACAATGGCAAACAGGGCAGCATTAATAGCCCATTTCTTCCTCCCTGACTTTACTTTTCCTCAAATCCTGCCTTTCAAAAACTGCCTTCATTTGCACTTTGTTATGACAAGGTGATGCTAACTGCATTGCAGGGCATTAGGGATAAGAACATGTCCTGTCGTAGACATCCGATCTAGTCAGCTGTAGAGGCTTGGCAAGACATTTAGCCTGACTTTACTGTCATATCGATTGTCCTTGTCGTACAACGTAATTCTCTTAAAGGGAAACTCCACTGATTAAAAAAAAAATCTGCATAATTAAACAGCAAAGATGTAAACAAAGTCATTCAGAGTGGTTTGGTGTGAAATGCTCCGTTCTACAAGTCAGAATTGTTAACAGTGGTGGTGATAGGAACCAGACGTCTAAAAGCTTCCTGACAGAAAGTTATTACATGAAATGGTTATGAATACACAGCCTGACGTCTGAGACACTGTTTTATGATAGTTTTGTTATAAAGTTTTGGCTTAAATTGTATTTTAATGATTCATGGCGGAGGGTTACATGCAGGGTGTTGTGAGGCAAAATAGCCCAAAGAGAACATAGTTTTTCAGATTTATGACTGCTTGACCATCATCAACATTACATATAAGACTCGTGTAGGCTCACTGGTGGTTTTGGATAGTAAATAAAATGGCTATATTTATGTTGTAGACATGGTGACCCCAGGTTCCTGTCACCACTGTGAAGAAATCTGAGTCAGTAAGTTTCTCTCCAGTAAAGTACTTCACATCAAACCAGGGTGAATTAATGTGTACAGCTGTGATGTTTACACTCTGAATGAATGTGTACAGCTGTGATGTTTACACTGTGAATGAATGTGTACAGCTGTGATGTTTACACTCTGAATGAAGGTGTACAGCTGTGATGTTTACACTGTGAATGAATGTGTACAGTTGTGATGTTTACACTCTGAATGAAGGTGTACAGCTGTGATGTTGAATGTGTACAGCTGTGATGTTTACACTCTGAATGAATGTGTACAGCTGTGATGTTTACACTCTGAATGAAGGTGTACAGCTGTGATGTTGAATGTGTACGGCTGTGATGTTTACACTGTGAATGAATGTGTATAACTCAAGGACTGAATTATTCAGACATTTTGGTGGAACTGCCCTTTAAGGGAAAGGTAGTTGAGCACTGGTGGAAGTAATGGCAGGAGAAGGAAATTGCCTTTTATTTCCCCCTGACTGTGCTAATAGGCCGGTGATCAGCAGTAAAAGGCGTTATTGCCCCTGTATTGTTCTCAGCTGTGAAGAGACGAGCGTTAGCAACAGGAGGTCACGTGACGCTTTAACGTCAGCGGTGCTGAGCGATAAGGTTTTTTTCCTCTCCGGTAGTTTCGGGAAACAGTTCATCATATATTTATTTTTTTCGTACTGTGAAACGGTACAGATGGCTTCTGCTCGACTCAGAAGCTTTTAGAGAAGTCAGTCATTTTTTATAGCGGATAAAACGCCGTGATGTTGGTCTAGAGTTTCAGTTTTGGGTAGTAATTTTCAGTTTCGCTTGGCAAAAGTATTTTTAAACTCAACAAATGCAGGAGCACTTAGCTGTAATATACTTTCTTACCTGTTGCTTTTAAAGGTAACATACTTTTTCAGGTATCGCCACAGCTGTTGTGTAAACGGTTTAAATAAATAAATAAGGGCTTTTAAGTTTTTTTAACCCCGGCAGGTCGCAGTTTAAGTTAACTCAGGAGCATTTTGCACTAACCGCCTCTAAAACAGGCATCAAATAAACGAAAATATCTGTAAATTTCGCACAACTTAAAACACAACTGCACAACCAGACGTTTCAGTCAGTCTGTAACTGTGTAATACACTGTTTACTGGGGTAACCTTCCTCTCACACCTCAGCTGCGAACTCTACCCGTTGTTTTGCCTGCTAGCCCCGCAATGTATCATGGGAATTGTAGTTTGTGACTGCTAGGCCTGCACAAACCTAATTAAAACTGAAGCGTGCTACTTTTAAAACCACTTTTTAAACTTACAGAATCATTTTGGAAACTGAAAATATATATATGAATATTACATATCTGTAAATAATGGTAGAATATGACGGTGTTCAGTTTAGACTTAAACACTGACGTTTTGGTGTATTCCTACACTTCTGGTTATGCTTACAACTATATTGAGAACAGAATATAATCATTTCAGGCAAAAGAAGAGTTGCTACACGGATATTAGGTTTTATACAAATATTTATTGTACAAAAAAGTGAGGTAGTTGACATCTGGAATGACCTTTAGCAGCTTATTCATTTCATTAACTGTCAAAACGAGGAGCCCCTAAAGGTGACATTGTGATTTTTTAATAAGGCATGGCCACAAATTAATGTTGAGACCACGAGCTTCTCAAGTGTCTCATGACTCCTGACCTTAATGCAGTAATTTGTGGCCTCAGTATAGTAAACCGAGGCCTAATAATCACCATGTCACCTTAGGGGCTCCGTAGGTTCACACAAAAACACAGACAAAAAATAAATACAGCTTTATGTAGCCCTGCTAGGTTAACTGGCCCAGCTTTACACATTTCCTTCATTCCTCCTTATTCTAAGTCACTGCTCGCCAGGACTGGATGAGACCGGACGGGAGGGGTGTTAATGAGTGCCAAACACACCCTGTGTGATCTACACAAAACGTCCATGACGTATTTCCCAGATACGCTGACAGACAGGAAAGGCATCTAATCTGGTGGTTTGGGGCGCACCCACCCACCGCGCGCTCGGGCTCCGGCAGCCTTAGTCATGTCTCCGTCACCAGGCCACGTCCTGAGCGGTTTAGCTGGAGTTTCCAAAACAGCCCTGCTGCTCCTCTGTGAGTCAGCCGTGACACCGTTTCACAACTTTCTGGCCCAGAGGCGCCCAAAACCGGGATTTCAGCCAAAGCTATACCAAAGTGTGGTCAGCTCGTTTCCCCTGAGGCTCGGGCTTTAAAAGTACACTGAAATGTCCAGCACAAAGCTTCCCCCCCCTGAGCTCAGCATGTAGCTACAGTCCTCAGCATGTGTGCGCCTGGCAGAGTGTCCGTCTCTCTGGCACACTGTCCAGAGTTACTTCTCAGTGTGGCGTCCTGAAGGATCCTCAGGACCTCCCCCGAGTCCATTTTGGCTCTTTTGCAGGGCAGGAAGTCTGGTACCGTGGCCGTCTTCCCTCTCCGTTTTCTGGAGTGGCGGTCAACTCTGACCGGGCTGCGGTTCTCCTGGTCCACCTCGGCGTGCGTTGGCTCAGTGGCGCTTGTTGTGGACTTTGGAGGCACCTCGGGAACCTCCGGGCTCGAAGTGTCCATCGACTCCTCCTGCCCCCGCGGCGGGTCCGAGGGGGAATCAGAGGCAGCAGGTTTCTCCTCCTGGCTGTCTTGGCTCTCGCTGGTCGCTCGAGCCGTGTGGTAAATGTCCCTGGCTGACTTCATCACTAGAGTCAGCAGGAGGCTCCGGTGAAGGCGAAGTCCGCCGCGCTGCGACCGGGAGCTGTACATCTTACTCAGAGCCTGCACCATGATCCGCTTCGCCTCGGCGCTGACGTCCATGGCTTCAGAGGCGCCCGTGAGATCTAAGTGGATTTTCCTCTTGTTTTTGTTGAACTTTGGGACTTTCTGTCAGTCCTCTACACTCGGGCGGAGCGTTCAGCGAGTCAAACGTAGTCACCTCGACGGGAGGGTTTATATAGCTTCGTGACGTCAGTTGATTGACATCCCCCAGCAGCACCGCCCCTCCCACTCTACGTTTTTTCCAGGAAAAAGCAGAAACAGGCCAAACGTGCTCACGCCGCTCTGCCCGGTTTGTTATGATGGTTACTCAGACGCTCTCTCTCTCTCTCTCTCTTTCACTGCTTCTTTGGTATTTAGGCTAGATTTTACATAACCATCCAGATTTTCCCTCAAGGATCAATACAGTACATTCATCCATCCCTCCACCCGTCCATCTCTCTACCAATCTTTTTCTCTTTTCTTACTAAACGCTTCTGATATGCACGTGTATAGTAACATAATATATATTAATACAATATATTAAGACATTGATTTACTTCAAGTTAGTTTCTTTATTCATATATTTTTATTTTATCTTATTTTACTTCATCTATTTATCTATTCACTTATTTATCTTTTTATTTGCGTATTTATTCACCTATTTGCTTATTTATTTATTTGTTTATTTGTTTGTGTTTACTTACGTACTTGTGTACTTTGTTTCTCTACTTACTCACTTCTTTCTTCTTAATGTAAGTGTAGTTTTTATGAAGGGCCCCTCAGCCCTTGCTGACCTCTCTACTGTCCTCAGTCTTTTGGAAGGAGGGGGGAGGGGGGAGGGGGAGTCCCCCCCCCACCTCCTCCTCATGTCCATATATGGCGTTTCCGCCCGCTGCTCCTTTTCAGCGGAAAGCCCGTGATGCGGAGGCGCCGCTTCCTGTTTCCATATTTAGCTTCGCGGTGCCGTCACCGCTCGACGCCCATATATGGTCATGGAGCCACACGGCGCGTCACGCTTCCGCTGCCCTTATACGGGGAACATGCAGCTGTTAAATGGAGCTTTTCTCTCACGCTGCTGCACCACTGCACACAACTCGCCCCGGCCTGTGCGCACGCAGCCGCACGCACGTGATTACTGATTCACTGTGAACGTTTTTGCACGTCACCGTGTGCAGAGCGAGCAGGACTCGGAAAATCAGTTGCTTCCTCTGCAAAAACTGCAGATCAGATGCGGCCAATTCAGTATAATATTAATGCATTTGTATGGCGCTGTTGCATTTATTACAATTCCAAAAAAGTTGGGACAGTATGTGAAATGCAAATGAAATCAGAGAGCAGTGATTTATAAATCTACTCTGAATTGTAATGAAAACAGTGTAAAAGGTGTTTTACCTTATCAACTTCATTGTTTTTTCAGCAAACATACACTCATTGAAATGGACACGTGCAACATGTTCCAAAAAAGTTGACACTAGGAACATTATGAAAAAAAAACCCCATCTTAAACAAGTGATTTCCAGGAAAAGCCGAGTCCTTTATGTGGAAAGGTCAAGGCTCCCCACTTTGACAAAAATGCACCAGTGAATAATCCAGCAGTTTAAGAATAATGTTCCTCAATGAGCGATTGCAAGAATTTTATGTATTTCACTCTATACAGTGCATAACATCATCAAAAGATGCAAGGAAGCTGCAAAAGTCTCTGCATAAACAGCAAGAAAACTACAACTGATGCCTGTGACCTTTGATCCCTCAGACAGCGCTGCATTAAAAACTGGCATGCTTTTGTGATGGACATCACTACGTGGGCTCAGGAAAACTTTGACAAACCATTCCCAATAAACACTGTTCATTGCTGCACCCACAAATGCAAGTCAATACTTTACTATGCAGAGTGGAAGCCAAACATCAACATCCAGAAACACCGCCGTCTTCTCTGGGCTCAAGCTAATCTGGAATGCACAGTGTAAATGCGTATCATGGTTGGTACAGTGTAGTAATATCGCTGCCCTCCACACAGCAGACTAGGGTTCGAACTTTAGCACCTGGGCAAGCACACCTTATTATACTTGTCCTTGGGCAAAACTCCAAACACTACACTCGCCTACCTCTGGAACATGATTAACCTGTAAGTCACGTCTGGCAAATACGAAACCTTTCAAATAGAAATAATAGACGACATGTTCTCCAGGCCAAAGAAGAGAAGTACCATCCAGATTGTTACCAGTGTAAAGGCCTGAGACTATAATGGCATTAGGGGAATTAATAGGTAACATGCACATCTGTGAGGGCACCATTAACATTGTTTGTTCAAAATGTGACTGGCCAGTTTGAAAGTTAAGAGCTGATGCTGAAATTACGCTAAACCAAAGATGGAGTTTGGAGAGGAAAGCTCTGGGTGATATTTCATTCTACTGGAGCTTGAAGGAAAAGGAAAAAGAATGGACCTGGAGGCACTTATGACTCCTTGAGCAGTGAAACAAATAAAGTGAGCTGAGCTGAGCAGTAAGAATATTGATCCACAAATTGTCTCTTTATTTTTATTGATGGAATACTCTAGTGTTTTTTCTGTTGTATCTGTAGTGTGTGGTCAACCATGGACAATCATTCCAACAGGATATCTGTTGACTCAAAATGCACTTATAATAAAAACCAATAGACCATTGCTTCAGTGTGTTTACACTACAGAGAAATGCGCCAAGATCATTGTCCATGGTTATCGACTGTACACTGCAGATAGAGATTAGGCTAAAGGACACTGGAGTATCCCTTTAAGCAGTTCTCTGAGCAGTTTTAGATATGACCCCAAGTCCAGGCCTGTATCTAATATCAGACAATGAAGTGACTCATGTGCTGAGGAAAATAAAACTTCAGTACCGAGGGATATTTCACGGGATGTTTCCAAGGTTTAGGCAGATAGCTTAAGCCCAAAGTCAAGCTTGTCCAAAAAGAGCAAATTCAGGGCAGTTCTTACTTTGGGCTTTAAATTACAGGATCAACAAAAAAAAGACATTTTTTTGGTAGATGCCCCAGAAATTCAAGTGACAAGCACACCTAAAATGATGCCAGTCCAATGAAAACAAACGCTGAATAATAAGCCACTGTCTCTATCGAAGAGCAATACATCAAAATTATTTGTTCCATTGTACCTGATGTCCCACTTTTCCTGAACTCACTCTACAGCATCCTGAAATAACCCTGCATCCAAATACCCCAAAAGTTCTTGCTTCTTCTTAGCCAGCTCTTCTCCTCGGACCCGGAAGTTGATTTCTGTGACACTAAGACGAGATAAACTGCTCCCAACACCTGCTGAACACTGGATCAGTCTACAGAGAGCAGCTACAGCCGAGGGTCTTCAAAGACAGGCTGAGGTAAGCACTAAAATGAATATTAATTCCTTAAATGAATGTTAATCAGTAATTAGAACTCGCATGAGTCATAATTCTGTAAGCACTTAAATGAATCTCACATTCATACACACATATACACTCACCGAGCACTTTATTAGGAACACCTGTACACTTACGCATTCATGCAATTATCTAATCAGCCAATCATGTTGCAGCGGTGCAGTGCATAAGATCTTGCAGATACGGGCCAGCAGCTTCAGGTAATGTTGACATCAACCATCAGAATGGGGAACAAATGTGATCTGGTTTTCTGTAACTCCTGGGATTTTCACACACACACACACACACACACACAACAGTTTCTAGTGTTTACGCAGAATGGAACAATAAAGAAAAAACATTCAGTTTCTCAGACAAAAACGCCTCGTTGATGAGAGAGGTCAACAGAGAATGGCCAAACTGCGTCAACCAACAGAAAGCCTTCGGTAACTCAGATAACCACTCTGTACAATTGTGGTCTCAGAATGCACAACATGTCAAACTTTGAGGCGGATGGGCTACAACAGCAGAAGACCATGTTGGGCTACACTTCTTTCAGCCAAGAACAGAAAGCTGAGGCTGCAGAGGGCACAGGCTCACCAAAACTGGACAGCTGAAGACTGGAAAAACGTAGCCTGGTCTGCTGAGGCATACAGATGGTAGGGTCAGAGTTTGGCACCGACAGCATGAATTCATGGACCCAACCTGCCTTGTGTCAGCAGTTCAGGCTGGTGGAGGTGGTGTAATGGTGTGGGGAATGGGGCTACTAATACCAATCATCGCTTGAATGCCACAGGCTATTTGAGTATTGTTGCTGACCATGTGCTTCCCTTCATGGTCACAGTTTACCATCAACTAATGACTACTTCTGGCATGATAACGCACCATGTGAGTTCATTGTTCTTTAGTGGCCTTTCCAGTCACCGAATCTGAATCCAATAGAACACGTTTGGGATGTGCTGGAGCGGGAGTGCTCCTGTAAATGTACCTGAACATGAATTGCATGAGGTGTCAACATGGACTAGAATCTCAAAGGAATGTTTCCAACATCTTGTGGAATCCATGCCATGACGAATTGAGGCTGTTTTGAAAGCAAAAGGAGGCCGTACCAAGTATTAGTATAGCGTTCCTAATAAAGTATATGGTGAGTGTATATTCATATATACATATCGTCGGAACGAAACCCTGTATTGCCAAAAAAATTTCCAAAAACTTTGGAAAGGGGAAAAAAATGTTTTCAACTTTAAATGTAAATTAAATGTAACAAGATTGTTTTCTAAGTGAATTTGGGATCATTTCTATTGAAAGAATTTTTGACACAATCCAAGTGGTCCTGACCTTTGGAGAACAGGGTAAAGAGGGGCTACCAAAGTATACAGAGAAACAGATAAACTACAGTCTGTAACTGTAGAACTACAAAGTGCACCTATATGGTAAGTGGAGCTGATAAAATGGACAAAAAAAATAGAAACAAAGAGATGGACTTACTGAAGTGGCCAGTTGGGGGGTATGTATGTGTGTGTAAAAATCTTAGGTAGTTATGAAAATGGTTTAAAACCACATCAGCTAGGTTTCGACCAGTATAGACATTATATTAAGAACAAACATAAATACAGCACAACTCAATAAGAATGTTTTAAGTTATTGATATGTTGTTTAGGAAGAGTACAGTCAGAAGAACTCAGGCTGGGTTCCTGACTCCAGCAGCAGCACCTGATTTAATTTAACGAAGGGCTGATTAGACAAACTAGCTGGACCTCCTGGAGGAGAGCTTTGGTTAAGCTAACTCAGCTGTCTGC